CCGCTGCTATTTATAACAGCTCGTACCATCAGGTCGCAGGCGTCCTTTTGTCCTCAGCTCCGAGTGCTGTTTTCAATTCCTGAGGTGACTGATATTTGCAGCTCGCACGTCTGTGCTATCTATCACACAAAACTCACCTTTGCACACCCACCAAGATTACCTATTCAGCACACTTGCGATTCATATACAAGTTGTAGTCCTGTACCGTGATCACGTGAGCGACCGTTTACCGTGATATGATGGTTACGTACAGAAGTTTGACACAGCATTATCAAAGACTGATGTCGTCTCCCTTTAAAGCGTCATTTCACCAACGTTACGGTCAAATCAATAATCGGCCTCACACGCTCGCTCCCGCTTTTATCTCACCGTGCATATGACTGATCGACATGGCTGCATCCGATGGTTCACCATTGTGTCGCACTAGCCAAACGGATTGCTTAACTTAGGTGCCTGTGAAGTATTTCTCAACTCTGGTTGAAGAACCGATCGTACCCTAGCGAAGTTCGCCATTCGGCGATTGCGTCACAAACCCTCCCGATGTTCCACTGGTACATGCCTGTCGAACTCGACTCATTTTCGCTGGCTCGGTCATGTGCTCTTCCGTGTGCATGCCTGGCTACCAGGCGGCTGCCCCGGCATGTATTGTTTACCGAATACTGCGTCTCATTGGGTGGAGCGCTGCGGTGGCCAGTCAGTAACATGACAGTGATCTGTGAATTAGCTCACCGTAAGGTTTCGCTGAGTTGGCACTTGTTGTCTTCCTGGACTTGGCCCTCAGAATCGGCCATTTCAGCGATCGGACGTCTTATGGGATGTGGCGCGGTCGTGGGGTAAGGGACGCTGGGACATTCGTCTCCGCCACTTCGGACTTCTGATTCTCTGCCTGATGGTTTTATTTCTTGTTCATTCTTCCTGATTCATTATCGTTATCAGTATATATCATTATTGTTGGTTTTGCTTTCTACTGTTTTGGTGGCGTGTTCTAGACAAATTGGTCTACCGTACCTTCGTGCACGGATCAGGGCTGACTAAAGGAATTGAAACTCCGAAGTTTCTCATTTATTTATTGTGATGTGCATGTAAGCAGTCACTGCCCTTCAATATTTCCAGCGGTGTGAGCCAAAAATGCTCGCTGTCACCTTTCCACTTTAACTTCGCCATTGACGAAGTCATAAAAACTGCATTCATTGAATACGACTTGAAAGGTGACGAGCTTGGCTTGTAATCTGACTGCACGGGTTCGAGCCTGCGTAGGGACCGGGGGACCCTGGCCGTATTCTTAGCCCGCGTGCGAGCGGTCACTCGTTACCTTCAGACTACGGGTCGGCAGATCTGCAGGGTCCTACCCATGTGCTGACCCTTGGTGGTTATTGACTAGAAGTCGTTCAGAAATTTAACTACCTAGGCACTTATATTAGCGCCTGTGAAATAGATGATGTGCTCACGAATCATACTACCAAACTCGAAGCCAATCTGCACTACGTTTGGCGCTGGCGCGACATCACTCTTGCTCTGAAAGACAGAGTTTACAGCGCGGCTGTGTATTCAATCCTCCTGCACAACTGTAAAATCTGGCCCATCAAGTCAATATATAGTATAACCATTGCTGCCTTGGCAGCTTAGCTCATGTTTGATGGGTACACCGTGTGAGCAACGAGTGTGTGCGGCGTCGCATATTTGGTGTAAGACAAGCCAGTAAACCGCGCAGAACCGTTATATCACGTACCAAGCTCCGATGGCTGGACCACGTGTTGCGCGACGTATGTTCTTTGCGTGACCGGGGTGTGGATGGAAAAAGAGAAGGGGAGGTCAAGTGGTGATTTGGTCGAGAGAAATGAAAACCCTCCCTTCGAAGTTGGCGTCTTCTGGTGTCTCCGGACGGCCGGGCTGGGTTCTGATGAATGATGAATACGTTTGCTTGGATACACAAGCTGACATGGCGAAGAGCCGACTTCATTGGCGTTTGTTTTGCGAGTTTCTTTTTTCCCCCTCTCACTTCACTCCCCCTTCCAACCACGAGCTCATCCCCGCTACGTAATTTTCTGATGTTTTTTTCTTTTCTTTACTGGTTGGTATCGCTTTTTCACATGGCTCACCTTTTGTATTGTCACAATATGTGAGGCCTTTTCAACTTTCAGCTACCCTGTAATGATGATGATAATATGCGCACAAATTCTAGCGCACTTCTTATGCTGCTTGCGTCCGCGTCTTTGATTTTGTGGCCATCAGTACACTGTCCTGTCCCGCTCATGTCTGTTTTTTGTGTGAGCTTACTGGTCGTTTCTCTCCTTTCTCCTTACATTAAAGGTATCAAACGACTCTACTTTCTTTTTAGCTACCGAGTTACGAGCAGGGAAAATGAGTATAGGCTTTAGCTTCCATTCCCCTCATTTGTGCTCCAATCACTTGTTTGATGACGCTTAACTTATAAGCGGACTGAGGATATCATCGTTGCGCTCAGGTAGTCTTCTCATCTCAGCTAGCCAGCCAGGTCGGTTTCGGCGAGCAGATTGGGCTCTTCATCTTGTAAAAAATGGCATCAGCAATACTCTGGTACGCAGTACCGGCACTTCGCTGCTGCGCAGCCACCACCGGTCGCAGGCACGAACCCGCGCTCTCAGATGACAAAGCAGGTTTGTGATCCTTAAGACTACTGGCCGACTCTTCCTTTTGTGGCGATTTTCAGCCCAGCTATTTATTACACTTCGCAGGTGGTGATCACCGTTACCGTTCGAAGTTGTAGCCTGCTGACAAAATTATAGAAAGGTGTGAAAAACTTGATCAAAAGATTTTACCGGCCTGTTGCATATCACCTCTGTGGATCGGGATCACGTGGTCTGGCGTAACCACAAGGTTAACGGTGCCTTCGAATCAGATGTATTGCCTCTAACTAACTGCCTTTTCATCCTGCGTCTATACGTCTCTATTATATGTTTTCTGTCGAATCTGTAGGTTTGTCCTCCTTTTCCACTCACTGTCCATTTTCTCGATTGTTTGTCATCGAAAAGTGAACTAGACCGAGAAATTTCATGCAGTATTTTTTCTTCATAAACTTCAAAATAGCAAGCCGAAACAGTATTCCAACCAAGTACTCCGAATTCAGATATTTCTTGTTTTCTCATCAGCTATGTACAAACAGTACATGGAATCAGTATGTTACAGACACAACGGTAAGATAATGCGTGTTTAAATAAAGCTAATCGATACCCAAATCACCAGGGCAAGCCAAATATAGTCACAAACCCCGCCTGCTTACATAAATTGGGTTTCAGCCAAAGAATCACTGAAGCCTCTGCAAACTGGAGCAGACAAGCAGTGCTCTGTCGATTAAGGATTTCGAACGATTCCCCCGGGTGTTGGCGTGTAGGGCAATTAACGTTATGCTGTGCGGTGGAACTTGCAAGCAGCTTGGAATCGTTTGCCACCAGGTTACGTGGAACATGTTCTGAAATCAAATGGACTGCGTCCTCTCAGTTCTTCCCACGTACTTGCTACCGCAAGTACTATGAACAAGGTAGATGCAAGAGGCGGTACCTGTAGTAATATCTCTGTTCAGATTATTCTGCTGAAATGTTTCTTCGAGCTATTTTGTACTAAACTGAATTTCTGAAGAGTAATGGAAAGATTCTGATCCAATTAAACGCGATTCATCGCAGCGAATTTAAAGGGGGCAGATAACCCAGGAGCACGCTGAAACACCGTTTCGTTTTGAGCTGCATTCAGCAGCATGCATTGCCCCCGGGTGCTCCGCGAGCCGCTCCCTATGTGCCGAAGCTAACCGCTTGTTAAACTAAGCCATCGGTAACGACGGTGGACTGCCATAGTTAATTACTAGCTGCTATACGATGGGGATCCTCCTCTACTGCTGTGCATGTTACGATTCACTGTTAAATTAAATTGATTTGAAGTAGTTTCTGCTCTGTTCGACACTAGGGCGAGTCCGTACAGTAAACTCCAGCATCCACCAGTCCTCGGGCCATGAACGCAGCTTTCTACGGTTATAAACTAACGCTTTCCCTGATCCATTACTGGCAATTGACACTAGTTAACCTGGCTAAAATTTCAAGTTGTTAATGGGCTCGGCGACCACATCCGGATCACTCTGATTGGTCTAGTACCTTCCTCACCTCTGCTTTCCCTGACATCATTCCATTTCTGTCCATGTTGTGTTCTTTCGCTGTGTCTGGAATTGATTCTGTTCTTCTCATAGTGCTTCGGATAACCTGTACTGAAGATTACGATTTACTAGGGTTTATGACCAACTTGTCCTGTGGTTGTATGCACTGTGTCAATCTCCCATCACCTCTACTGGTTTGCGCAAGCCCGTATCATCGCTCTGCTGTACTGTCTCCTCGGCACGTTTCACACTTAGAAGATGGTTCATTGCGAATTTCTCCACTTTACACGGACGCCGCGATTGGATTTCGTTTATTGAGGTGAATATCACCAGTTGCATCGGATCATCGAGTGGCATGGGATGTACTGAGACTGGGGAATTAATCACTGCTACACTCGGTCAAATCGTGACCTCATCAGTAATAGCGTTTCGTCACAGGTGATTCGTTGCATTCGAGCTGCACCGTTCGCGTTCGGTCAGAGCCGTTTCGACCTCTCACATCTGGCCGACTAACAAGGTAGCGCTTAGCATATCAATCTCATCTGATTGTCATGATTGACGCAGTCGGGCAAACTGGGAGTTTCCTCATATCTCGTTTATTTTAATCAGTCATGCGATTATTTTAGCAGGGGGTTTTCGTCGATATTTTTATAATTTGTCCACCTTGCTACCTCACTTATCCAACACGTGTGGTTTATCACAGTCACTAATCTGTTTCTTGTGATCCCATAAAAATGAACCACATTCCTGGTGAATCCGGAAAGTGTGCATTTGTCGCTGACCTCCCTACTCGATTCATTATTTTTGCCACTGTGCATTAATGGTTTGCTCATTAAGTGACATTTCCTCCTTCGGTTTTTGCACTATTCCCTTCTGGTAGCCCAGCAGAGAACCTGAGCAATTGTCTGCTTCATCCTCCTGATTCTGACGAACCGGACACTTCGAATTTTACGGACCACAATGTCCCTATAATCAAGCCCCCTCTTCCAATGGTCGATTCCACTACATGTAGTTCGCTTCTGCTGCCACGAATGGCTACGCATCCGCGTTCACCGTCGATTGATCGGATCATTGAGTCAATTCACTCGGCATCGACCGATGCATACGCTCATCCATCCTCTCGGCCGAGTTCGGCTGTGTCCTTGGGTTTGAACGCCTGCTCACCCACACCCGCCGGTATGCATTTGTTCAGATATGCATTCGTTGGTGTTACGTGTTCGGGAATTTCGTCTTCCACTTTTCAGATCGCTTTTTGGTCTTATTTTAAGGACATCCACTCCTCCAAATAGCGACCTTTGGTTGTGCACCTCTAAATGACCTTAGAGTATTAGGTATATTCCTCTTCAGCTGAGATGCTACGTTCATATTTGGCATAGGTCATATATGTACTGGTAGTACCATGCTATCGCATGTGCAATGTGAAGTTGTGGCGAATAAACAAATAGAAAACAACGATATGTTTCTCGACGGTGCCAGGCACAGTCCAACTGGATGGTACGATTCTTGACGTACAGCGGAATCGCAAGGAGCAAATGTTTTTTTCGAATTTTATGGAGCAGTTATCAAAGGATCTGTTGGCGGGCATAGCTAATTGATCGATTGAATCTCGGGAAGATTAAGAGCTTGTCAAAAGTAATCTTGAAAAATCGAGATGTATGTATGAAGTAATGCGCCTATCCATGGAGCCGTCTTCTGGGGACCTGCTTCCATGCGGAGTATTCCCTCGATGGGTTTCACCCCCCACTTCCATGCCCCATCTGGCCGTGTGTCCGTATGGCTTTTAATACAAGCAAGCCGTCGCCCATGTAACTCATCTTTTGGACTGTTTTTTGCGTATATAGTTTGGACACTCAGTTCAGTGGCAATGCGCCTTGCATGACTATAAATGTTAGCGTTGGAAGCTTCAATCCGTCCCCTCAAGAGATCAACTCAGTCGTGGCCAGCTATGAAGTTAATAAGAATATAAATTATGTACGTTTCGAAATGTAGTAACGGTAATGCTTGATAATAAAACGATATCATTTCTCCTTCTGCGCAAGAAATACCGATCGATCAGGTTTTACAGGGGAAATGTCGAAGACAGATGTCTGCTCGAACCATTGAAATGCCAGACAGTAGGGAAATTTTTTAGGTTCATCATCATTTGCATGCGATCGGAAAATACCGAAATTGATATCACTGAGCAATGAGACTTACTCTCTGTTCTTGGACTGTCGCCTTCGGGAAAAAAGTGGTAATATTTAACCTTACGAATGTAAAAAGGGGTCATAAATAAACAGGAGTAAAATACTTTATATCTTGATAGTGCAAGACAACGACTATGTTATCAGTCCGATCACATTTGCAATTATATCGTCAAGAAGAGTTTGTGTTCAAGCCGTTTATAAAAATTAGTTACCAGTCAATGTTTCAGTGGTTCAACCATTTGGAGCAGCTGAGGCCTTTAGGAAGTTATATCGACGAGCTATGATACTCAGTCCGTAATTTGTTCTTTGATACCTCCTGACAAAAAAGAGTTGTTTAGAAGTGCGGTTCGTCTATGAATAAAAAGCGTCATAGTGGTGGGTTGAATTGATACCAGAGAATTTTGTCATTTGCTATATGGCGCTCGGTCCTCCCTCATACAACGTGGTTATACTCACGTCTGCGTTTAGCATGTCTCCCAATTTATTCCCCGTCAATTCTCTGTTAACTAGAGTACGAAAAGCACTCTTTGCGTTGCACGCTCTCATATTCTGTGATAGCTTGTTCCACATAACTGGGTAGCGGCTAGGAAATTCGATCTTAAGCTAGTTTCGTGCCTTTTCGATTTGTAACGTGCTTTCTCTATTCCTTAAATTGTACTCCAGGTAAGGTTGAAGTACAACCTCTATGTCTGAGGTAAAAATACGTTTATGGATCATATCAAAAAATGAAGCTCAGGTTAAGTCTCCTTAAACAGAGGGGTTCTACATTCATCTCATGGCAGCGGCCATGGTAAGTAAAATCACCAGAGTTTCTCATTAGGCGCTTCTTAAGGGAGCTCTGTACATTTTCTATTGCTATTCTGTCACCTCTTCGCAGATTGGAATATACCAATGAGCAATACCTTGACAGGGGGCGAATACGAGTTTTATATAGGCGGATTTTAAATTTATCCAAATGATTTTAATACTAACCTTCCCCTAGTTTACGGGCTTTCGCAAACGCATACCGTACATGTACGTTGAAATTGAACCAGCTCAAAAAGTGTGACCAACGATCACAAATTGTGAGACAAGTAAACAATGTTTTACCGTCTAACATCAAAGAATTTGGTGGAATAGTGCACCGATAGTATATGCAGCTGCATTTCTGGGATGAGGGTTCGATGTTTCAATTGTTGCACCGTTTCCAGCTCTTGCAGATTCGCTTGTGTGTTGGAGGGCGTGTTGGTGATATTGTCCGAACCGAACTCATGACTAATTTTAATGTACTCGGCGAACGCATATGATTTCCCGTGTTTGTAAAAGTCATTAATATACATCACAAACAATCGAGACCATAGAACACTTCTATGCATCATGCCACGTGTGACTTTTCGACTGCCTGATGCCAACTAGTAAGGTAGGATGATATCCAAGTGTGTTAATTGGCAGTTATACCGAAGGATTGTACTTTCGATAGAAGCTTTTCATGCGATTCCCGATCGTAAGCTCTACGCATATCGAGAAATGTGATGATTATGCGTCTACCACGGTCAATGGATCTAGTAACGAAGCTCAGAAATTTCGAAGCAATATATGGGGACATCAGGACCTCGAAATTTGTGGGCATCTGACCGTATTCTATCCGGACTGGGATAGAACTCGATCACATTGAATTTATCAGAGCTCTTCTATCCGCTTGCTCAAATTCAACAGTACTGATAAGATCCCTGGTTTTAGCGGGGATGTTTACCATCAGTACTATGCATTGCTCTATGAAAAACGATGAGAAGTACTCATTGAAAACCCCACACATCCGAGCCGGGCTTACAGAAACGTTGTTGCCAGGCATTATACATAAATAAATAATGTTTTATTCTCGATGGAACGAGGCATACCATGATAAAGCATACTTCCTTACGTCATACTTGAAATTACTCCTGCGCTGGAATAATTTGGTCATTTCCCTTGGTTTATTACAGTGAGTTAAATCATTGGTCTTATCTCTGAGAAGTTTTGGGAGCCAATTTACTTCTATGGATTACATTATCTGGTTTTACTGAATTAACAGACTGAAGTTGTCAACCTTTTTAAATCTATAATCGTAGCTTCTTCAGCTTCCCTGTTATATACGACGAGATAGTGTTCTGACTCATCTTGGGGGAACTGGGCCCGTGACGCATCCACAGATACCTAGACGCATGATTCTATTTTTGTGTAACACGTCAGCTGCATGTTGAGGTTCAGGAGGAAGGGAATGGTTGTTCCAGTCTATAGATCGCAATCTGATTGCAAATTCCAGTTAGTATTGTGATAATCACGAAAGTTTATAATTTTGTTGGATGCGTCGTGCTTGTGGGGGATTCCTTCGAAGTAGATCTCTGCTATCTTATGGTCATACCCAGGAATATTGGGGTGGATGCATTTAATTCTAAGATTTATGTCCTTGATAAAGATTAGATCCATGAATTGTCTACCCTTGTTGGAGATGAAATTTGTTGAATTCAATCAATTGCATGGATTGTTGAAAAAAACTTCAGATATTTTACTGGGGACCAGGAGATCTCAGGCATATTGAAATCTGCACCAATAATTTTTCGAGTTGTCGCATGCTCAAAAGCATGTGAGAAAACTTCCGCGAGGTGATCGATATCCAATTTACGAGTGTGGTAGGTTGTACACACAACCATTTATTAGTGGGTGGTCACACACGGAAGTTTCATTGTGTTTATTGTCCACATATATGCGGCAATGGCCATCATCGCGGGATATGGGATTACTGCAACGCTTCGGAAGCTTGGGATGTAAAATTTGGTTTCAGAGGTATGTTCGTTTTCCCAAGTTTTCGTGACAAGTACAATGTTACGACTGGAGAGCAACAATAGAGAATGTAGGTGGTGCATTTTGCTGCTGAGATACCGGACATTTAAGAGAAGTAATCTAACATATCTGTGTTGTGTATATAGATTTACTGACTGTTTGTGTATGGTTGGACAAAGGGCATCATCCCATGTAGCAGAGGAACCTGCATGATTACAGTCGGAATACACGCTGCTATTTGCAGGCATGTTCCAGGCCAAGGTGATGATGTGTTGGAAGAACAATTAGGCCTGTTGATTCATTGGGGTTGGTGGCCATGTGGCCTCCGATAAACACAAAAAAGAAGCTCGGTATGTGTGGGATTCAGACGTTTGAACGTCGTTTGGGACACTATTTGAAGCCGTCGCCCTCAAATTGGAGTATTCAGCAAGACTTTTTAATCCTTCTCCTACTGGAGAAGTATCAGGAATGTTAAGCACTGCGGTTGTGTTATGAGGTGCAAACTTCCTTAATTTGGTTAAGTTAGTCGAAATGGCTTAGTTGGGGTCCAAAAAGCAGCAGCAACTACCGTTATCCAGCTAATGCCTGCTCCTCTAATCCGAATCTATCGGATCCACTGACGCAAAGCGATTCACCATTTTAACAATCCCGTCACCTGGGGGCCGTAGTTTCTGCCATCCAGCACATTTAATGTGCGGCGTAATAGGATATACTATCATCAGAATACAGCGGAATACGTTTCTATTAACGAATGTGGCCTCGCCGTTTAAAGTATCACTGTGTCCAGCTACGTGATAACATACTAGCGTTTCTCGAATAAAACGTCTTGAGCGCAATCGGCAGGCGTATAGCAGTGGTATTTCTTCGTTGCGAAACCTGCAGTCGTGAGTGTCTCAGCGGAGTCGCAGAGTCACCTGGTCATGCAGTCAGTATGCAAGGCATGATCCCTCTGTATGTGCGGGCGTCCTTTGACTGTTCACAATCACCGTGCAGTCTAATTGGCACTATGGTCGTCGAACACGATAAGAGGTTAATACGTCTGCTTTGACCATTATCTACTCCTGTTATTTTCCTCTGCCCCAGTTGACGGCATTTGTCCAATGTCGCGTTAGGATTTGTGGAGACGGCTTAGTCACTCCGCTCCTGCTACCTTTTTGGGTAGACCGACAGCTCTGTTGTAATTGTCATGCG